TTCTGGCGGTGTTGTAAATCTTACATGCTGCAGCTCAACAGGAGCTGTACAGTCTAATGAGTCTAATGAAATTCTTTCTGGTGGATCTCGGATAGCTCTGTTTAACCCCCCCTCTCTCTGTCCCCTGCCAACAGAAAGCTCTGTGCCAGCAGTTCAGGAAGGAGGTTCATATCCGGAATCTTCCATCCCTCTTTAAAAAGCCAAAGCCCGACAAGGATATACAGAACACTGAGGCATTAGGCCTGGCAGCTCTCTTCTCCCCGGAGAATAATACCCTGTAGGAACACGTAATGGTTTAAATGGACTACATGCTGACTGAAGATGGAGTTGTGTGTACAAACCAGGGGTTTCCCTCACCATCCTCCAGCTGGGGCAGCGCCGGGCTACCTAACATATCTGTCAGCGCTCCTGTTTTTCAAACACTCGTCTTTTATTTTTGCCCTCATTGTGCCACAACACAATATATTTCCAGTAGCCATTTGTTCAGGCAAGATTCACACAGAGCATCCCTTTTAAATTCCATTGCTCACTTCTGCTCCATTCCCTTTAACAAACCTTAAAGGAGGGTGTAGGAAATATTTTGGATTAAAAAAGCTCTGTTGTACATTCTGTTAAAGAATGAACTAGATATCACCAATATTAGCTCTTCTGCAGACGCTCTGCTGAGCCACAAACTTACCTTGAAATAGGTCGAGATTCTGTCATTTTACTTTTTACCTTTTTCTTTTTAAGGAGCTAAATTTACCTATTGCCCAGCACGTCATAGAAACCTTCATTTCCGAGGTGAGTGTTGGCAGATATGGAGTGTGACCATGCTGCTGCCGTCAAGACTTTCGAGTCAAAAAGAAAAGAAGATAAAAATATGGGACAAACCCTGGTTCACGTCTGTTTCATTATGGTAAATTTCCTTTGACTGGACAAGCTTGAATGCTGATTCTGATTCTGAAGGCTAGTGGTACCTCAGATGTGACACTACCTAAGATTAAAAAAAAATAGAAAGCAGCAGGATTGAATTTTCATGAATTGTTATTATACTTTTAATTATGAACAACGGTTTTCTGGGTTACAGATATTGCACTGTATTGAACAAGGCATTGATTTTGCTTGATCTTCATGAGCACAACTAACACGACCCAAGTACTGTTTGAACTGCTCCTTTAATGCAGAACACATATCATACTATAAATAATACACTCACATTTCTGCCAAAACTCTCTCATTAGACTTGTTAATTGTGTCTGAGAAACAAAACCTATTCAAGGACGGATTCAAAAACTAACGAGTAGCTTAGTCCAAGTGTCTCTGTCCTCTAGCTGTTCAGTTGCTGTTTCTTGTGTATTCTGTTCCCTGTGTTCCTACTGGTATTAACCACCATGAAAGAAATTGACCCAGCACTACATTCCATTCAAGGAATTGTTTTTAAGCCGAAATTTTTGGATGTATTTTTGCTCTTATGGAGCTGTCATGCTAGAGAGTTGTCGTGTTTTAACTATATTTTGTGTCAAAATAAATGGGAGTTATTTTGGCTTGGAGCGAGTCCCCTGTTAGATGCAGATTTTTGCTAGTTTGCTCTAAACACATTCACATTCTTCTCACCAAGAAAAGAGAACATTAGTGTTTGAGTTAGATTTTTTTCAGTGAATTGATTTCCGTGTCTTTGTGACGATTCTTCACATGTGGACATTTTTTTAAATGCGTGCTCAACACTAAAATGAACAATGTAAATTCATTGTGCATTGTAAAATGTATAATGAATGAAAACAAGCTTTTAAAGGTGTTGTGTGGTTTATATTTACTTTTTTAAGTAAAATAATTTCAATTTGTCTAAAATTCATCTATTGATTTTAAATTTAGAATAAAGAGAAAAGGTTTAAAATTGCATCGACTGCGAATATTTTACTTTATTATGAAAAACGTTTTTTGTGAAATTACACATAGTTGTAAATAAAATCCTAAAAAGAAAAAAATGCACCACGTGGAAAATAATTTATATTAAGTCAAGGATACCTTCAGAAAAGACTATGTTTTGTTTGCTCCTGTAAATATTTTACACTGGTAACTTAATATTATAATGACAGTGAATCTTCACACTAAGATGTTTAAAGTCAGGGGTAAGTTGAAAATGTATTTAACATCTTAAAGATGAGTGTAAAGATACAGATAGAGCTCATTTTAATTCAGTGTTTCAAAAGAAACTGAACACATTTCCACCAGAAATATCCAAGACTATATTTATCTTTTTATATAAGATTTGTTTATTTACATCATTATAATATGATGGTGAAAATAGGTATTTTATTTCTTCCTATGGTGTCTCCCAACTTCTCCCTATGAGGTTACACAATAACCCCAATAAAGATTTACACTAAATTAGATTTCCACATCACTAAATAAAAAAGTTTATTGTAACATATATTACATATATATTCCAGTAACTTGTTCTATTGTATATTTAAGGTTAGTATCAGGTATTAGTGATGGCAATTTTAATAACATAAACTACAGTGAAACTTACCTGGAGGATAGAGTTCAATAATTAAAATTTAAATGTCATCAGGTGAATTCGGGCCCTTTTTCGTAAAAGCAGTTTGTCTTGAGCAGCTCAAGGAAAGTCACTTCAGACTCCAAGCCTGTAGGTGGCGGTGGAGAACCGTTTGCCATGTGCCGGTGGCAGCACAGCGATGAGCGGTGAAGACGCTTAAAGAAGAAGAACCGTGTCATGGCTCCTGAGTGTCCGCAGGCGCCACGTTATGAGTTTGTTAATGAGAAAAATATTACACGAGTGTTTATGGTTTTAATGATCACGGTGAGCAGGAAGTTAAATCTTCTACAAGTTTCTATGTCAGTAAGAAGACACAGCAGAGCGAGAGAGAGAGAGAGAGAGAGGAGGAGAGAGAGACACTGCGCACAACAGAGACACGTGTGTAGTACAGTGTGGTACAGTATACTACAGTGCATCACAGTACAGTAAAGTGCACTACAGTACATTATAGTGTAGTACAGTATATCACAGTGCAGCACAGTATAGTAGATTACGGTGCAATATAGTAAATTACAGTGTAGTGTAGTAGAGTACATTACAGTACAGAACATTATAGTGCAGTACAACAACTTGAGCTATTTTAGAGTTTCTCTATTTTCTATTACTGTAGAGTCATACTCCTTTACATTTTAGAGGAACAATATCGAGTTGTCTTTTTTCACTTAACAAGTGTATGTGACTTATTTCACAAATTAAACAGACAAGACTCCAATAATATTAAACTAGTTCTACATATGAGTACTTTTATTTTAATTACCTTGAGTGAATTTTTCTTGCCTTAGTAAAATTTGAATGAATGTACTTTTCTCTGTAAGTAAGTATTTGTAGAATTGCTACCTTGCTACTAAAGTAAATGATGATCTTTACATAATGACCCAAGGTCTGTCAGGTTGTTTGGGGCCGTTTTCAAGTTCAAATTTTAGAATGGACTCACATCTTTATGTCTGGGATGATTGAAATGGAAACTGGTCCTCCTGCAGGATTTCTTCATATTTGCAGCACATCGAGTTGACAAGACATTTGATTTGATAATTGAGAGATGAATTAACAGGTTAATCAGTAAAAAAAAAAAATAGTTCCTCCTGTTTATGGCTCCGGATCTGCATCATCAAGGCCAGAGGATGTAACTCTCCAAATTTAAATACAAAACACAAACTTCATATTCACTAATCTTTTCCTTCATGCTGCTATAGGGTCTATAACACATTTAACAGTACGTTGCTCCTTAAGACAGAAAGAAAGAAAAAGGAAAAGACTTCAACATATTTGTTTCAACATTACAGTGGATGTTTTGCGCAGATCTTTAGTCTTTAATATCAAATATCTATGGTTCAAAACAAAGTACTAATATAAAACAAAATAACTGATTGTATAATTTGATTGCATATGAATGGATTTGTTGTTTCCCCATGAATCTTTGTAAATCTTAGTCAAGTTGCACGGAGAGTCAGTCTCGTCCTGCCTCAGATGCCACTCTGGACACATGGCTTTATGTTGGTGATTGTCTTATTCAGAAAAGAATTGTTTCCTAAATGGTGGTTTTACAGCATGAAGTAGGTCTTCATCCTGGATCTCTGTACTTTGCTTTATTCATTTGACGCTCTACCTTCACAAACCTTCGGATTGCAGAGAAACACACTGCATGGCACTGCCACAGTGATATTGCCTGATCAGCTTGTGAAGTTGCAGTAAGCCTTATGGAAGCCGGCTACACAAGCGTCCATCTCTCCTGCTCAAGGCAGATTTACAACAGTGCTATTTGATGTAGGTATTCCAAGCCCTAGAAATCGTTCCAACAATATTCTCACGAGTCCCTGTCATGTAACAGTTTAGAATATTCACATTCTAACCCACACTCGATATGTGCAGATCGAGGAAGTATAATCACTTCTCATACACACATGACCTCCATTCAGCTTAATTATGAAACAATTGGCCCCACTGGTGATTATTTGAATTTGTAATGAGTGGAGTTGTTTATTTTATTTAGATTTGTGTTGTTATATCTTAATATAAAAGATTTTACTTGTATGAAAAACATACTAAATAGTAACAATAAATCCACTTTTTCAGCACTGGAAAACAACAGTCAATGCAAATATTATTTTAAATAGTTTTGTGAATCACCAGCAGAATTATCAGTTACTCTTTATAAATCATCAATTATTAAAAATGGGTGGGGACACATGTTTGCTTGAGCTTTTATCCTGTGTAATGATTATTGTTGGTAGCCTGTGAATGGTCACTGTGGTGTTGACTGAACCACTGCTCTAATCTTCCTAAAATAACTTAAAAATAATAATATTGGAGATTTAGTGTCACACTTCTGAGTTTCTTTATTTTTAAGTTAATTAAGACACGAGCTTGTTTCCCAGCAGCAGCTTCACTACTGCTCAGCAACGCGGTTGCCGGGCAACGCGGAAGTTTCAGGTGGAGAGTCTCAGATATTTGAATCAGCACATGGGGAACAGGTGCGTTTGTCCTCGGTGTATTTGAACCGTGCGTTGAACGTGGATCCATTCGCTCAGAGAGAAACACCCGGGACTCCTCTCCTGCTCCTCCTTCACTCGAAGAAGCACCTCGCTGTGTTTTGAGATGTTCGCCCTGTTTTCTATCTTGGTTTTCGCTTCTTCCGGTCGCGTCCTCGCAGCCACCGCCGGGCGCCTCATGCCCGGTCAGCCTCACGCGGTGCCGGCGAACAGCACCGAGGTTTTGGCGGCGGCGCGGTTCGCTGTGTTCGAATTGAACCGAGTCAGCCCGGAGGAACAGTTTGAAATCGTGAACATCACATCGGCCAAAATTCAGGTACGACCTCACCCCGTTAGCATAAAGCTATACTCAAACATTTCAAAACCCATAAATGCCACGTGATGAACGCGTCTTGCTTGTGCCCTGCAGCTGGTCGCGGGTATAAACTACATCCTGGAAGTGCAGCTGGGGCGTACAACGTGCACTCTCGGGAAACCATGTGATCTGACCTCCTCCAAGGCAAGTTCAACATTTTAGCAGATGCACAACACAAGGGGCTCCCACAAGTTTTCTAAAGTTGTGCATCTTGCATTTGATCATGTGGAGTAATTAAAGGATTTGTCATTTATTGCAGAAACTTCAGTGCAACTTCGTCGTCACAGAAATCCCGTGGAAAGATTCCCGTGAACTCACTAAAAAGAAGTGTTCCCTGCATGATGACTGATGTCCTGAAGTGTTGCCAAGTAAACGGTTGTTATCGAGCTGTGTCTGATTATGTTGTTCATCTCAAATTTCAAGCGCCGTGCCTCTTCTTACACCCTGAATTTATAATGACATCTTCACAAACCAGTGATTTCCATTGGCTCCCAGCTCTGCCACTTGTTCTAACACTGAGTTGAATAAGTTCAGTGACCTGCACTCACTCGGCTTTGTTTAGGGCGAAAAATGGCATAATTATTCCAGTGAGTGACCAGGGCAGCTTTACTGTGCCTCATCTCTCAGTGTGTGTCCTGGCAGCTGTAAGGCTCCGGTTGCGTGTCAAGCTCGGTCAGACACATGGCCGCTAAACGGAGACGAGGCTATACACCTCAACTCTGCCACCGGTCTCCAGAAGGGCTCTTGTATGGAGGATTACAGGCATTTTCAGATTACTGCTCAGCAAGACCAAACGGTCTGCTGCCCTGACCCCCTTTTAACCAGGAGAAATAAACAGCTCACTGATGTGCCAATAAAGGCACGCAGCACATGGGGGGGATTGTCAAATATTGTACGAGGATGTGTTTGGGGAAAGAGTGTGTGCGGATGGGTGCTTCCCTAGCTTGGCCACACTCTGACATACCTTTTTTTTGAGAGAGAATGAAAATTTTATGATTAGCGACTGATAAAATGTGTCTTTCAATATCATAGTAAGGGATATTCCTAAAGTGGCATGGGAAAAAGGGGGAAGTCTGTTTAGCTTTGATTACAGTAAACAGTGGATAAGCGTCACACACACACACACACACACACCCCCTCTCACCCAGCCCATAATGTCTTTAATCATGGATGTCTTAATCAAACTGGGCAAAACATAAAGAATTGGCTGGCACTGTGGATTAGGTTAGGAATGTGGGGGAAGGGGGATGCTCCTTAATGTGGGATGACTGACTGCGGTGCCAGGAGTATGCCCTGTCCATCTGCCATTCTACTCACCCACCCACCCACTGACACACTAACAGGTGCGTGCGCGCAGATACACGTGTCTTTTTCTTTTTTTTGTGCACGCGCTTCAAATACTCCACCCTGCACTCTGGCCCTACCCCTGTCCTCACTTAGCCTGGGCAGCAGATGGTGAGGGGTAAGGCTTGAAGCCCCCCTCTCCACTCCAAGCCACCAGCCCACCATCACCCCCTATCTCCCCCCCCACCCCCAAACACCACCCCACCCCTCTTTGTGTTGTTGAAGAGTCTGAGTGTTGAAAGGCGAAACCCCAGCTTGTCTCCCCCCTCCAACAAATCCTTGGCTGGCTGCCATTGGCGGGACTCAGTCAGGTGTCCTAATGCTTCAGTTAGGGGAGGAAACGCTGGTTAATCTGCCCATCGCGTGCCACTGGCCATGGCCTGGCCTCTTTGTGTCTGGCACCCCTCTGATCAGTCCCTCCACCCCTTCATCTGTCTTCCCCCCTTCTCGTCCAACCCAGTTCTCTACTTCAAGACGGTGTCATCCTTTCTTAAAGATCAACCCCTCTTCCTTTCTGGATGTGCATTAACTTGTTTCTTACTGGACAAATCCAATAGTTTTGACAGTTGCACTACATCATTGTCAGTTTTTGTCCTGTCAGACCAATCTTTGTTTTTAGTTAGTGCTGACTCATCACAGGTATTCAGTACACTAGCAATGCACCATACAGGAACATGTAGCAAGTGAATATTACACTGTTCCTTCTTTAAAACTTCTCTGCTGCTTCCCCCCCTTTACTTTTGCTTTTCAATATAAACCATGAGTTAAGATGTAGAACTCCAACCATTATTGCACTTTATAGCTTGTCTTCATGCTCACTGGTGTCTTTTTCAATAATGTAGGACAAGTATTTTGAAGTTGCTTCTAATGGAATACTTGAACTGCAACCAAAATTGCTGCTAATGAATCAAAGTACTAACGCAGCAATGTACTTACAGATTTCTCTAAAATCCACAATTACAAATGTTAAATATCTTATTGTTGAACTCTAGTTTTCTGAATCCATTCTATTATCTATAACACACCATCACAGAGACTTTAACCCGCCTCATTATGCAGAGGCAGCATCACCTCCAGCAAGGTGCACTGCTCTGATTACGATAAATGATGCTTGGATGCTGCTCGGAGCAGGTTGATAGGGTACGGTTGCGTAACCATAGAGGGTCATTACCATTTGACCCCTTCTGACCTTATTTTTGATTGACCCCTTCGCTTGGTCAATGCTTCAGAGCACATCCAGGAGTATAAGGTCAGAGTTCAAAGTATCCTCAGCTGTGCTGTCATGGAAACGGCAGCTTTTCCCCTCTCGTGGTCAGTTTTAATTTAAGGACAGTGGGTCACTGAGGTTCTGTTGTGGTTTTTGTGTTATTATTTTGGGGAGGTTTGGTATTTACTCCTTTTTTGAAACTCCCAAATTTTTATGTAGCTACAGAAAATTTTAAGATAACGGTTTTCTGAAATATTGAAATACAGATGTACGTTGTACTGATGCTGCCTGGTTGGTTTGCAAATAATGTGGCTGTAAATTTACCCTCGAGCCCTATTTTTTTTTTCTGAACTGCTGGTTACATTTTACTCAGTCGTTCTTTGTGTTTCACCTGCTCTTTTTCCCTTTAACCTGTCATCTTGGGGTTTCCATCACGTGTGTTCTGTACAGAAAAGCACACATGCCTTTCTTCAGTGTTGTGACCGAAGCCTCAGCGTCCGCCATGGTGGTCAGTCGTAACACACCCGTGGCTTATTTTTTCCCCCACTTCCTGTTTGTGACCGTTGTGAAGGGTTTCCTTGCAATCAGTGCTGCGACGGGAGGGTGGGGGGCAAAATCAATACTTTGAATGTAACGTGCAGCCAATGGAATAGGAGAATGATTTATGTCGGAATGGCTACTCCCCGAATCAGATGGGTTTGTTTGGTGGCCAGATGAGTGGACGGGAGGAGGGGTGGTGGCACAGCGACCCAGAGCAAGCAGAACTGTAAAAGGTTTT